CAAGAACGCCCACGTGCAGGTCGACTCAAGAAGACCACTCAGAGTGTTTGCAAGTGGTCCTTAACTGAAGTTGAAGTCTGTATATAATCTGGATACCTGGAGGTGTCGTCTCTGACTCAGAGGTTGACGTGTAATGACCCTCCATCTTTCAGGGTCGTGAGCTGCCGTTGCACATTCTGCCATATCCAGGCCAGTCCATGTTCTTACGTTGTCCATCCATGTTACTCTTTGTCTTCCTCTGGCTCTCCTGCCCCACATCTTTCCCTCAAACATCTCTTTCACAATGGTCTCGTGTCTTTTTAAATGTCCCTAGAATTGTATTTTTCTACATTCTATTTGTACTCTAACGCACAGCCATTGAACGCCCTTACACACGTCTTACAGTGGGTGGTTGGCGGGTGCTCTGGTTTGGTTTATTGATCCTTCATTCCTGTTAGACATCTGTCATCTTTATCTCTTCTCATTCCTTTGTGTGTATGTTCCACTCTAGTAACAACTTTAATCTTGGACAATTATATGACCTGATTGTGTTTTAAGTGCCGTAAAAGACACCAAAAATTATCGTACAATATGTGGTCAGAAATTCGTGGCGTAACTTATAGTCAGATATCTCTTTAACTATTGACCATAGATTCTCCAACGTTTGCACAATGGGTATACTGATGCTCAAGCAACTTTGACGTCAATAATCATGTCCTGTCATCAACTCTGATATGCCGTAATTGTCACTTTACTCGAACTGTCAATGGCGTAGAGGAGAGGGTTTTCAAGGTCGGACACGGGACCTAAATTCGATGTTTGGCGTGGCCCCAACAGGCAGCCTGCCTCCTTGATTATATAAAGTGTTTCAATGGGGGCGTTAAATCATGTCAAAGAGCATGACCGTGGGTGGTTGGCGGGTGCTCTGGTGTGCTTTGCTTCGTCTTTCCTTTCAAACATCTATCGTCCTTATCTCCCCTCCTTCTTTTTTATGTTTGTTACTCTCTTGTAACACCTCTGATCTTCTGGCGCTTATAATATGACCTTATGCCGTTGCGAGCGCCGTAAAACCTCTACTAAACTAAAACAAAAGAGCAAGACCAAATTTCTCTGCGACATCTTATCTTTCCCCACCCCACCCCCACCCCCTTTTTTCCCCACTGCATTCAGCCCTTTCCTAACCCTTGAGGTGATCACTCA